TTCAAAGTCATAGCCTTCGAATCTTTTACTAATATTTATCATAAACCAAAAATATCATATGTGTATACAATGATAAATGAAACATTTCAAATCAAAAATTACCAAAATGGCTCCACAATAATAAGAGTCTTAGGCATATATACGGAAGAGGAAAAGATCGTAACACTGTTACGAAATGGTAACCAATCAATAGGTATGTTAAAGTGCTGTCAAAATGTGAAAAATGTCGGTAAAGCAGCTTCATTGTCAATAATAGGTAAGCCTGTAGTAAGCATCCATTGGCACACACTTTATGTGGTCTGATGTGAAGGATGACGTTCATCCGGGGACTGTTGGATAAAACCTGGCAGTGTTACGGGCATACAGGAAACACTCTCCATACAGTAGGACTAATCGGTTCTTCAAATAAGTACCATGCAGTGACGTAAAAAAAAAGAAAAAGATGCCCCCACCCTGCATAAAAAGTAATTGGGCTCCCTACATTTATTCCCCTCGTTGACAATTCTTAAGTGTGTCATGCCATTCGGATTCCCTTTTTGGCTTGGCTCCTCCGCAAGTGAGAAGACTTTGGGGACGTACTTAAGCTATTGATATTGTATCAGTATTTAAATTATTTTGAAATAGCAGCAACACAATGATCGTGTGGTTCCTTATTTAAATACTTTTCAACCTTTATCTACCTTTAGGAGGTGCAATGACCTGCTTATATAAAATTATGACTTCCACTTTAAAGCTATGTTTCTGAACTACCTACGTTTCCTATCGTCGAATGTAGATCTTATGTGACACAACGTCTTTTACGTAGAAGGAGTTGTTTTGAGGAGCGGATTGGATAATTTTTTGTTTTTAAATATTTAATTTGGTATTCTATGCACCATTAACACAGGTATTGTGAGTGTATGATGCATATCAATAACTTTTACGGAGGTCATGACTTTGAATGACCTCAATGATACTGTCATAGGGTAGGTCCACAACACCTCATTCAATACCATTAGTAAGTCCACAATGCCTCATTCCAAACCATTAGTAGGTCCATAACACCTCATTTCAAACCATTAGTTGGTCCACAATACTTCATTCCAAACCATTAGTAGGTCCACAACACCTTATTATAAACCATTAGTAGGTCCACAACACCTCATTTCAAACCATTAGTAGGTCCACAACACCTCATTTCAAACCATTAGTAGGTCCACAACACATCATTTCAAACCATTAGTAGGTCCACAACACCTCATTTCATACCATTAGTAGGTCCACAACACCTCATTCCAAACCATTAGTAGGTCCACAACACCTCATTCCAAACCATTAGTAGGTCCACAACACCTCATTTCATACCATTAATAATTAATTTTATATCTGAACTACTTTCCTAACAGTGAACTTTGGAATCACCTTGAATGATTGTATCGAGTAGACATAAAAATAACATTCTGTACAATGTATTTTTACACATGTTATATATATACTTGTATCTTACGTTCTCCATCTGACTGACTATTCAAATTATCTTCGTTATATATATACTGCAATCTTAGGACAGTTCTCACGGGTTAAGTATATTTGATAATTCCATTGGTGGTTATCACACAAGTTTAGGGCAGTTCTCACGGGTTAAGTATATTTGATAATATCATTGGTGGTTATCACACAAGTTTAGGGCAGTTCTCACGGGTTAAGTATATTTGATAATTCCATTGGTGGTTAATCACACAAGTTTAGGGCAGTTCTTACATGTTAAGTGTATTTGACAATTTCACAGGTTTAGTATAATTTTTAATTTCATAATTACATATCACCTACATGGCCAATTTTCCTAAATGTTTTAACGTTTAGTAACTCAACGTGTCTTTCTAGAAAATATAGGAATTTTAAAGCTAAAGAATACTTTTACTACTCAGATTTAACATGTTAAATCGCAGCAGAAGTGTGTGAAATGATATCAAATCAAGATATTCTGAGATAGGTTATATTAGACTTACATCTTACCATGAAAATAGTATCTTGGTAAAATCTCATTAATAATAAAGGTTAACAATATTTTCTCATTTTTGACATATGTTTTGTATTTTAATTCTAGGAGATTAAGATATTAACTATAATGAAGTATTTTTTTTGGTTTCAAAATTTACAATATTGTCATATTTTTATAAGGAATATTTAGTATTTAGAACTAGGAATATTCTTCAGATTTCATTATTCTTGGGTATAATTTTTTTTTGTTACAAACGATAATCAGTCTTTCAAATTAGAAATATGATCTTGATTGTAATTACGAGAGCTTCTAGGTAAAGAAGAATTTATATAAATATATCAAGCACACTATATTTGCTATATACTGTGTTGACGAAGCATTTTTGCTTAATACCAAACCTCATTGGACGTACGACAGATCTAGTAGTAATCGAGAAAATATTTACATCATCAATTACTTAAAAAAATCACTGTTACGGTGTGAATTAACTTCAGATGGGAGCCTGTAATTTTTATCAATTTTATTTAAGTTACTGCACATAATAAATAAGATTATTATTATAAATATAAAATCGTGCATTTTATTTTAACAGTAAATTGTTTATATTAATATTATTTATTCCTTTTACTTGAATTAATTTTACTTAATCATTCATATGAACTTGAAAGACCATTAAGCCAGTATTTTTTTTCATCCCAGAGTGGGTTAAGTGTATCAGCGTTAACGGAAATATTCTGTTTAAGTAATTATAAACACTTACAGTAAAGATTATTGTAATAAAATGTTAAACACATTATTATAGTATTTTGGCACTTGTGTATAAAGTAAAAATCATAAATAATATTCAACGTTAAAACTGGTACACAATTAAAAACATTTTATTTAAGCCTATCTATGGCCTTCAAAGGTTGACGACTTTACATGTTTCGAACGTTACAACGTCATTCTCAGGAGTAAATAAAATGTTTTTAATTGTGTACCAGTTTAACTTTGAATATTATTTATGATGTTAAACACATTGTTTCTGCCATTTCTATGTTGGTCGAATATTTTAGACTGTTTACTTGGTAGAATAGGCAGTACAATTTATTTAATATTTCTGCCTCAGATTGTAACTTGATAAATTCAGCAGTAATGTACACTTAATATTTTTAGACCTAAATTGTTTCGTCTGTAAAGTAGATTCCATATTTCTGACTAATGACACTCTAGACTTGCTGTTAATACATATTAGCTTTCATTGGCAAAATGGGTGTTCTATTGAAAGACTCCACAACAAAACGCTTTTATAAGGTTTTCATTTTACTGTAGTAAATTATCTACGTCACTGCAACAAAATTTGGACGATAGTTTATTATTTTCTTGGCGAGCAGCAGTAGTAAAGGTGGTTTCTTCTATCTAAAAAACGGTTTCTTTTCACAAAGTTTGTGACCGTGAACGGAATGAAATTTAGCCATAGGTATCTATTAGAGAAACGTGAATGGTCAAATTATTCATGTACATAAAGAATAATCTTACTTCATTGGAAGACATATTTGGTCCCGTTTTTCTACCCAATAAGAGAAGTAGGCGTCACAACGACGACTCAAATCACATACAAAAATTATATGACAACTTTTCAATGTCATTATCCTTGAAGTATCTCCAAAAGCCTGGTTTGCTGTTGGATTACACAAAAGACCTTTGGAAACAGACTTCAAATAAGGAATACATATAGAGAGGTCGAACTGCCATTAAAGAAATTCAAAAGTAGTTTCGTGTCAGACCGTGACTACAAATAAGGAATACACATAGAGAGGTCGAACTGCCATTAAAGAAATTCAGAAGTTATTTCGTGTCAGACCGTGACTACAAATAAGGAATACACATAGAGAGGTCGAACTGCCATTAAAGAAATTCAGAAGTTATTTCGTGTCAGACCGTGACTACAAATAAGGAATACATATAGAGAGGTCGAACTGCCATTAAAGAAATTCAAAAGTAGTTTCGTGTCAGACCGTGACTACAAATAAGGAATACACATAGAGAGGTCGAACTGCCATTAAAGAAATTCAAAAGTTATTTCGTGTCAGACCGTGACTACAAATAAGGAATACACATAGAGAGGTCGAACTGCCATTAAAGAAATTCAAAAGTAGTTTCGTGTCAGACCGTGACTACAAATAAGGAATACACACAGAGAGGTCGAACTGCCATTAAAGAAATTCAAAAGTAGTTTCGTGTCAGACTGTAGTGTAGAATATGACTGTCACGTAAAGCACTCAATACAACCGATCAACATGACCATTAAAAACACACAAAATGACTGTCACGTAAAGCACTCAATACAACCGATCAACATGACCATTAAAAAAACACAATATGACTGTCACGTAAAGCACTCAATACAACCGATCAACATGACCATTAAAAAACACAATATGACTGTCACGTAAAGCACTCAATACAACCGATCAACATGACCATTAAAAAATACACGCAATATGACTGTCACGTAAAGCACTCAATACAACCGATCAACATGACCATTAAAAAACACATTATATTCCAAAACTGGTCCAAGAATCCAAAAAAACATTAAGTAACAGGCAACAACTTTGACAGATGTATCAAGATGTTGTGCCACACGACTGGATTATTTTCCTTTAATGAATATTTCATAGAAAACATCAGTAGTAACTCATAAAACTCATAAATATTTCATTATTTTTTCCTGCAAACTACCAAATACGTACCACACCACCAAGATACATTATGATCAGTTTACATTATAATGCTGCACGTATTATGTTTTTCTCACTTTTATATCCGCTTAAGACCCCGATTTGATATAATCCAATCGCACAACTTTGTTGTTGTTTTTTTATATTTGTCACGACACGTTGTGATAATGTAAACAATATTTACTACTTCTACTTCATATAGTTCAAGAAAATTGTCACTTTTAAAGGACAAATCTCTACGTATTAGTTCATAATCTCACTAAGCTGGTATAGATTCTGAGTCTAATTTATTTCAGGTTATCCTACAATCCGACGTAAGATGTCTTCAGACTCCTGTGTAATAGGATGGGATCCAGTAAGAGTAACAGCTATAGAGGTAAGATTTCTAAGTTGTCAATTAATGACGTTATTAGTTTAAATCAGAAGACTTATCTTTCAACATAATTAATAACTTAAATATTATTATTTAATTTAAAGGTTAAGTTTTTTGTTTTCAGATTAATATAGTAGTTTACGTGAGCATACATGATCGTGACACACAAACTTACAACAGACCAACTAGCTTTGGTGTTGCAAATCAAGTGTTATCCACACGAGAAAGATTTTGAAGTGAACGTACATAATCATGACACACAGACTTACAAAAGGCCAATGAACTTTAGAGTTGCAAGTCAAGTGTTATCCGCAGAGAAAAGATTTAATGTGAACCAATCAACTTCCAGATCGTCGTTATGTATACATGAGAAGGCTTTGTCAACATATACAGACACTAGGCCTACTGGTTTATTGCAAGGCTATTTTCTTTATGGAATCGACGTAATTAAAAATATAATTAAATACTTTTATCCGCTTCTTTCTAATGATAAGTACTCATAACAAGAGTAAGTGCAGTAGGATTTCATCGTGTGTTGTGTATGCTTTTCGTTCCTAATTGTTTGTTAAGTACGAACTACATAAGTTAGAAAACCGACGTAGCCCTCCCACTTTGACGTGCTGCTGATTATTAGATAACGGTACACAAAAGAGGTTATTAACAAGTGCATGATTTTTATGAGTCATTAGTATAAAGTTGTTTTCATTATGGAGGAAATTGGACTAACGGTAATAAAAGACAGTTTTTTAATTCCTTTTTGTTTGGCTTCTGCTGGGAGCATGAAATATTAAGATAGACTAATAAACGGGATCGTGAATGAAACGGAGCTGTCCTTTAAAAAGTGCTACAACTGAGTGGTTATCATTAATATCTAATTATATTAGAAGTTTCTAAAATGCTATTCATAGTGCTAAAGTAACTAGAAGTTGAAGAAATATGTAACACAGATACTGTTTAGCACACTTGGGATGATGATAGAAGCCGTTACTTTGACAGAAAATAGCCAAGATGTGTATTGACAGATTATCATTATTACGTGATTAATGCTTTTAGTTCTTGTGATATGACGTTGTCAGAACTTGAGTAGTCAGGTATATGATAATCACTTCAAAAAGTCTTGCTTTGAAGCCTTAGATAAATCTTACATGGATTATTTTCTGTTTCTTCTTGTTAACCAAGCGATTGGTAACTAGTGTTTGTCTGTTTTTGTTTTATTTTTATATAGAGATTTAATCATTTTACGTGATTTTATTTTTCAAGGAATGTTTCGATTGACTTCATCTAGTCCCCTAGAGTTAATTTAACTTGAACATTTAAGGCACTTTCACAGTTACCAAACGAACATTTCTTTCTTTAGTGGAGGCCTTGGGTCCGAGTGTTTGGCAAAGGGGAAAACTTTACCATCGATGGGGTTTTAAAAGATCTTCTGGACAGCATCAGCTCCTCCATGAATTTCAGGTATTCTTGTGAATAATGCATATATATTGAAATGTTATGGTGTTAAGACCAAAAATATTTGTCTTACACGTGGAACAAATGTGTACATCTAAATTTTGAAGCAGTACAAAAATACGTAAAAAGGAGCGTTACTCAAACAGTACATTTTCCGTATTGCACAATAAATTATAATGTGATAAATGTCTCAAGTGAAGCATTCAAAAAAAGATTAATATATGTTGTTGGTAAATATTGAGGCTTATAGGCTATGTATCGGAATTGCAATCTGGGATTTTGGAATGAAGAATTTACCCCGAGGATATTCAGGGATTGAGGCCCTTCTTCATCCACTCTAAAGGTTTATTTAGAAATGAGTGTCATAGGGATTTAAGTGCATGAGAGGGGTACAAGCAAGGATCAATGGTTGGGGGTGCTGTGAACAAAACCGGAAGGAAGCCTGAGAACAAGGTATGAGAGATAGGAAAGAGAATTGACGGCTGACTTTAGTTGAGTCCATACTTGGAATGGAGCCTTTGTCAAGGATTGGGACATTTTTCTATCTTCTTTAGCTTTAGTGTTAACTTCTAGGTGAAATTAATTTCCTTAGTTGTAGTTGATCTTCTGCTCTATTGGATGGTATTCACTCTCCAGCCCGTGGGTAGTAGTACACTTCGTAGGCAATATCTCTATCTCCAATACTTTCTTAGGGTTGTAGGCTCCCCCAAGAGATATAAAGCCTATAATTTTTATTTTCGATTATAAGTTCCCCATGTAACAAATGACTTAAACAAACCAATGACTTCTATACTTTATGAACTTGTTTGTCCGTGAACTATTCCAACAGTTATGGAACTGGAAGAACCTAACTTGGCAAGTGGAATTAGATTATCTTGAAAAGTGTCCTTATTTATATGGAGTAAACCATCTACCCTCATTTATTTGGAGTACCAAGGAGGATTAGCACGTGCCTGGAAGGTTATCTAGGCATGATGGGGGGGAGGGGTTGGAATAAGCTTCCAGCGTCGCTGAAGCCTAATCTAGCATCTGAGTTTGTGTTGCTAGCCCCATGAGATACTGGAGGTACCATTTTTCAAACTATGTTCATATCCCCAGTCACACATACTCAGGTACCACAGACAGGTGTTTTAGTTTTAATGGGATTTGTTTTCAGATAGCGGCCCTCCCAACCTTAGTGTATTTATAGAAGTAATTAGAGATAAAAAGACCATATTTTTGTACTGCTTCAACATTTAAAAGCAAACATTTGTTCCGTGTTTAAGACAAATATATTTAATCTTAAATTAATCTTTAATCTTAGCATGAACAAAGTATGACCTCCTGGACAACATCAGCCCCTCCATTGATTTCAGGCATTCTTGTGAGTAATGAATAGTGTATTGAAATGTCAAAGTGTTAAGATTAAATATATTTGTCTTAAACACCGATCAAATGTTTGCTTTTAAATGTTGAAGCAGTACAAAAATACTGTCTTATTTGTTGAATCGCAATAAAGGAAAACATGGTCACCTGATTTGCTGCAAATAACGGTACGATAATGGACTTAATAAACAGAAGAAAAAGGTGTAGTACTTTGTCTCCAGTCAAGTAAACGAGGCGATACTAGGTGTGAAAACATAAATATTAATGAACATGTTATTAATGGAGGATACAACCGAATCGGAAGTGTAGTGTGTTACGATTGTTTTTACAACACTTCGTTACCATCGTGTTACACTTACACTTCTCTTTTACTTCTTATGTATGTCCATCAACTTATGTACTTATTACTGTTAAGAATTGACTCATACCAATGTAAACATAACGAATTGTTCTTTATTACTATGTAGAATAACACACTGATTTAGAAATAGGTTGTGTTTCTTACTGGCAGCATATTACTTTCTTCCTTCGCCTCTCTCGATATCTTTGTTCTCTCTCTCACATATTCCATTCTTTTCTTCTTAGTTGAGCTCTTGGCTTTTATATTCATTTTTCAAACCCTTTTAAGCCTTACTCCTATTTCCTGTATACCGGACTATATCGTTTCACAACTGTAGGGCTTCGTTTAGTCTCCATATAGCTGAACATAGAAAAGTGGCCACTCATTCCAATCGTTTTCTAATGACTTACTGTGCTGTAATCTCCTAATTTCTTAAAGACTGACCAAAAGCCGGCCGCGTTCTCACACTCTCTCAACCCCAACCACCCTTACACCTAACTTTATAACACACCTCCCCTTTTTTTTCTGAACAAATTCAACAATGTTGATTGGCTGTGTTTCATTTTTACTCCTGTCATGTTCCATAATTCTTGCAATATTTTCGATTGGAAATTGGTAACTAAATTTGAAAAGAAGTCTTCAGAATACCCGATCTGCTTTTTTCTGCTTCCATAGAATCTTTGGCTACTGCTTCTACATATCTAGTGGCAGAATTAACCACCGTCAAAAGATACTTATTCTTTTGCTCTGTTTCCGGAAGTGGTCTGATAATATTGGCACTAACAGAACTAAAGAGTTCTCTAATAATTGTTTTATTTCTTGTCCCTGTTACTAGCTAGTTGACATGCTCAGCAGCTCTTTACAGGATTCTCTGACTCCAAACATAAACAGCCAGTAGTAGTTTTCACCGATCTCGTTTCAGCTAAGCCTAAATGTCCAACCAGCATTACTTCATTCCCTAACTCTAATACTGTCTGCTCTACACTCCTTTCTGAGTACTGTTCGATTTCTGCCATCTATTGCATTATTCTCATTATATTTACCCCTCAACGCACTTTCCCGCCATTAATAATAATAATAATAACTTCACTTGAGTTTAGTTACTTTTGATTACTCTATCACGGCTTTTCTGCGATAAGTATCCAAGCTCTCATCTTCTAACTGTCATTTAATTATTTGTTTTTGATCTACATGCCCTATTTTAACAGCAGCTAAAAATACGTCAGTATTTATATTATTTACTTGGTGATTTATTTCTTCTCTAACTTCTACCTCCGATTTAGAGTTTTCTTTAATCTCAAATGTTGGGTACGTGTGCCACTGGTGTATCACCTATAAGTTATTAAGTTTCTTCTCTCCAGAGTTATCCAAAAACCAATATCCCTTAATGCATTTACAGCTTGCTCTTTTATCATTACTTCTTTAAACATTTATTTGAAATTTTCTCTTTGGCTTCAATTAAACACCTTACATTCTCCCTTCTATCCGGAATTTTCTTACTCTGCCTACGGAGATTAGCTCTAGGCTCAACTTGGTCACATATAAAACATTTTGGCAGGGATTAGTAATTTTCCTCCTTATTTATAAAATCACCCTGCTGGAAAGTACTCCTTTCAGTTTTCAAAGAGAAGAGATCCAGTTCTATTCGTTTTTGTTAAGTAGTAATAATACTAGCTTGATTTTCATCTAATTTCAACCCACAACGATTCGCCACGACATATTAATTCACGAACGTCGTGTGGTTTCTGGCTTCGTATCTTCTAGCCACGTTATTATCTGCATTGTTAATTTTGTCAAATGTACTCTTGCAGCGTATCCAGTATACTTAGATTCTTGTTCCGTATTATTTAAATGTCTCATTTTCATTTTTTGGAGAGCTTGGCATGTACAGGTGGTTAGGGCGGGTCGTAGGTTCGAATCCCCGTTACACCAAATATGCTCGCCTTTCAGCCGTGGGGGCGTTATAATGAGTTGGTGGTGGATGGTGATGACTAGCTGCCTTCCCTCTAGTCTTACACTGCTAAATTAGGGACACCGAGCGCAGTTAGCCCTCGTGTAGCTTTGCGCGAAATCCATAACAAACCTTATAGGAATAAACAAATAAATAAAAACATTTTAATTACACCTTAAGCCTCAAACGGTTGTCATTTCGGTTGAATGAGTTGAGGTTCTTTTTATCCGATAGTCCTCGTGAGATAACTTATAAACCTTTGAAACCTTTACTATAATGAACACCAAGGAGGTGGATCAGTAAACTATATTGTGCTTTACCTTCTTTTCTTTTTTTTACGCCCCCCAGTAGCACAGCGGTATGTCTGCGGACTTTCAACGCTAGAATCCGGGTTTTGATACCCGTGGTGGGCAGAGCACAGATAGCCCAATGTGTAGCTCTGTGCTTAACTTCAAACAAACAAATACTATGAACTTTCTTATTTGCCCCTCAGTGGCACAGCGGTATTACTGCGGACTTACAACGCTAGAATCCGGGTTTCGATACCCGTGGTGGGCAGAGCACAGATAGCCCATTGTGTAGCTTTGTGCATAATTACAAACATACTTTTTTCAGTTCTGTGTTTACGTCTGTGACTAAGGAACCGGTGTGTAATATTTTGAGAAAAAAAAATAGGATTATTTGAAAATTTGACACTTTGAGGAACATTACCTCAATTTTAGTTCAGTAGTGCCAGAAGGGGTTTTGTAAAAATCATTCGCGAAACTTTTAATCGGGTGTAATAACCATTCGCGAAACTGTTAATTAGCTGTAAAAATCATTCGCGAAACTGTTAATCAGGTGTAAAAATCATTCGCGAAACTGTTAATTAACTGTAAAAATCATCGCAAAACTGTTACTCAGTTGTAATAATCATTCGCGAAACTGGTAATTAGCTGTAAAAATCATTCGCGAAACTGTTAATCAGCTGTAATATAACAATAATAATAGTGATGTATTCTGTTTAGCAACATATTTTAATTTTTTCGTCTCAAATAAATATTCAATAATTTTTCCTGACTTACACCTTACAAATGAAATATAAAAATGTTATACGCAATCAAATTTTTTAATCGTAGATCATCATTTTTTATGCATCTTGCTTTTTTTTACGTAGATTTTCGGAAGTAATTCGAGCGAATAATTTTATGTTGTTTCATTTAAGTTTTGAGGATTCTTCATTTGAAAATGTCTACCTTATATTTCCACTGTCATACAAATATAGCCAGTACCAGAATCTTTAAAGAAAAATCTCTACGTATGGAAAAAAGTTATGTTAATATCATCCCAGTAATAAAAACGGTTATTTGTTTGTTTGTAGTTTAAGCACAAAGCCATACAATGGGCTATCTGTGCTCTGCCCACCACGAGTGTAAAGTCCGCAGACGTACCTTTGTGTCACTGGGGGGGTTAAAAATGAGGAAACTTGTTAAGTAAACTATGTGTAATCCCAGTGAC